TGTGGGTCATATACGGTTATTTTGAAGGGGGTTTGATGTGGGACCCATGAGGATCCTGCATACAAACCCATATAGGGTTGGTCCAACTTTTTAACTCAATTAACTTAAAGAATGCTGGCTTGTATATTTATCATGATGCCTTTAAATATATATACTGTATATATTTATATATATAGATACTTAACGTGCAAAAAATGTTTTTTTTTTGTTTGTTTTTTGTTTGTTGTTGGCTGTCTTCCTCAAATGGCAATCATTAATGCTGCCAAATTTCTTGACAAATCAATGGAATTTAAGATTTATTTATGTATATTTTCTTCTTATCTTAAATGATAAAAGGTTGTGTTTGCCACTCAAACCTTTTTTCACTAAATCTGCTCTTAACACTTAACTTGTATTTAACATTTTATGGAGACAATACTCTTCTAATTTTCCTCTAAAGGGTACTTTTTTGAGCAAAAAAGTAATCCAATTTTTAAGCAGTTGTGAAGTTCCTAATAGGTCACAGCAGTGTCCCAGGCTGTTGGAGGCTTGAAAACCGTAATGTTTTAACTGAAAACAACTCTCATAATCATGAAAAGTAAAAAAGGGTAACGAGGTATGTTTCTGCTTTTTGTAACAATACATCAACTGTACAAGGGTGTCTCTGTTCCATGTTTCACTAATTCCTGAACAAAACAAGCAAGTGTTTGTTCTTGTGCACGTGTGCACTCACAAATCCTCTGAAAGCTGAAGGACTTTAGCTTTGGTTGATGTTGTTACCCTGCGTTGTTGAGGTGTCAATTGAGGAAATCAAAATATATTTTTATATGTTATGATATGTTATTTTAAAAAATACTGAAATATTCTGTGCTGACATATCAAATAGAAGAAAACCTGCACAGTTGCTTAGGCTCTGGTTCCATTTAAAACCCTCAAAGCCTATTTTTACCACCGAAATTGTTCTGCCCCACATCATTATCATGACCAGTTCTTTTTGTAAAGTGTCATCTTCCCTGTATGATTTTCCAGCTTATACTAGAATTAAAGCTTTCAGGGCACGGTTATTTTTTTATCTGGACATTAAAGAAAGATTTATTTTTCCTCTTGTGAACAGAGATGCAAACAGCAGAGAACCAAACACATTGATTTATTTGTGGAGTTTATAATAAATTATAATACTATAATTAATTATAATTCATCCTTTCTACTCAGCTCCACCAGGTGCTAGTTCAACTGCAGTCAGGAGAAAAAGAACAGGATTTTTCCCTCCTGCCGATTCAGGTGTCCATCAGTGTACAGCTGTGGAGGCTGCCAGGCTGTCACGAGTTTTTGGCCGCTCTCGGTGAGTCAACTGATTACCGAACATACATAATATTTGCAAAACATTATACTGTACCTTTATAGGCAAAAACAATATTAGGATATATGAAGACAAATTGGACAATCAAATGCAGGTAGGGGACATTGGACATGAGTGGAAATTGTGAGTCTCTTAAGAGCTAAGATTATCCTAGGGTTTGGTTTCTCAGGGCTTCAAAACCTTCAAAACCTTAATTTGAGGCTGATTGTCTCTGTGCATTTAAAGAAACTATACACACTAGACTAGAGTTCTACCAGGTATGGTAAGGTAACTCAAAGTTTAAAGATTATAAACCAAAAATCTACAAATCTTACCTTTTGTGTGCAGGATTTGACTTGTGTGAGGTAGGCCAAGAAGAAGTGGTGCTAAAGACCGGAAAGCTTGCCAACCGTCGCATCTTGCACTTTGCCCTCCAATCTCTCCTGGCACTTTTTGGTAAGCACATCATTGGTTTGTTGGATTATAACTCTGAACTATCATCAGCTTTTAAGATGCTTATAGTTTTTGATTTATGACTTTCAAATACAAAATGTAGGTTTATTGGGCAAGATAGCTTCCTTTATTAATCATCATCTTTATCGTCTTTATCTTAAGAATATATACGACTTATTCCAAGGCAAGAAATATAGCAATTAAAAGTATTTTAAAGCAATTTAATGTTGTTCATTCCGCTTTTTTACAGATTCCACAGAACTCCCCAAGCGTTTGAGCCTGGACAGCTCATCTTCCCTGGAGTCTCTTGCTTCTGCCCAGTCTGTGACCAACCCTCTGTCCATGGGATACTCCAGCCTCCCATTTTCTCCTCCATGCCTAGACAGTCAGGCTTCCGATGCCATCTCTGTCTACAGCCTCAGCTCCGTAGCCTCTTCAATGAGCTTTGCCTCAAAGTCAGATTGTGATTTTCTTGGTAGGCACCGAGGTGGGGCTATGGCTCATTACTCTGTCCATAAGCACTCTCATGTTCGCCGTAGCCGCTCCTCCCCTCATGGTCCAACTGCTACAGTGACCGGAGTCCGTGGGGATGAAGAGGAATATGAAGGATTTTCGATAATTAGCAGCGAGCCATTGGGAAGTCAGTGTGATTCCCTTCCTCTGCCACCAGGTCATGGCCAGCGCCACCTTCGTGGAGGCAGAGGGATTGGCGGAGGGTCTGATACGGGAGCAGGTCGAGGATACAGTGTGTCTGTATCATCAAGGGGTAGCGTCAGTACCCCCACCTCTCCAGTCAAAACATGTCTGGTGCCCAGCCCAAACTCACCATTCCAGAAGGTGGGTAAGGTGAGCAGTTCCGATACTGGAGAATCTGATCAGTCCAGTACTGAAACAGACAGTACAGTCAAGTCTCAAGAGGAGAAAACTATCCCTCTGGATCCTCAGAAGCTGGCTCAGAAGATTTATGAGGAGACCCACAGCCACCTACGGGCTATAGGGAGTCTTCATCAAGCAGGCACGGACAGCGGGACAACTGGTGGGACCACAGCACTAAACAGTGCATTTCGATCCTCAGAAACAAGTGCTTTTAGTCGTCCTAATAGCAGTGCCAGTGGCAGAGCTCAGTCTTCCCCAAAACCCAAGCCTCCATCTCGTTCATCTTCCCTGCAGAAGATAAGCTCGGGCTACAATAGTCCTGTAGTCTCTGAGTCTTCCCAAAAAGAAGGTGGCCATCCTTCTCCCTCTTTGGACATTCATGCACAGTTCAAACTTAAGTACCCAAGCTCCCCATACAGCGGCCATATTTCGCGTTCACCAAGCAATGTGTCTCCAGGTTCTGGTCACCAGTCACCAGCAGGGAGTGCTCCGTCCCCTGCTCTGTCCTATTCATCCACAGGCTCTGCCTGCTCTACGTCGGCAGAAGCCTCAGATTTGGACCGACTACGACGAGGAGTCATTGATGAAAAAGTCCAAGCAATTCACAACTTAAAGACATTTTGGGTTAATGCTGCAGCCCAGCAACAGCAACATCTCGGCCCTGTCAAAGCTGTGCACAATTCTCCAGGACCCCTTGCTTCTGCTAGCAGGGATGTACTGAGCCTTCTTAACCTTTCCCCACGACGTTGTTCCCCAAATGACACCCAAGACAGCCTGGAGTTGCAACCTCTGGACAAAGGCAGTAAGAACTCTTCCAATGGACACAACTGCTCAAACACTAGAAAGGTGGCTCCCTCACCAACTATTTCCACAAGTAATAGCCCTAGTGCTCCTTCAATTCGATTACCTGCTGGCAATGGATACAAGTTCCTATCACCAGGGAGGTTCTTCCCATCCTCAAAATGCTAAGACATTTACGATGATCAGCTTTCCTATCTTGCCTCCCAGAGGAGTAGGGCACTTTTTCACTGTTGGCCCAACTTTCTTGAATGACAGGGAGAGGAACTTGGTTTGGGTCAATGAGTGTGATCCCACAAAGGCACAGAAATGTGATGGTGTATGTTTATCTTGGTGCCCAGTAACAACACTGTAAATGGCAATGAGAAGAACTCAACGACCTGATACTGTGTTTGTGTGTAATTGTGTGTCAGGTACCTGTAAATGCCACTTGGTATAATTTTCTTCCCAAAATGGTGTTTGTGTGGCAAGGATTCAACAGCTAAGCCTGTTTTCCTCTCTTCATTTTTGTTATTAATGCAATGGTTATTGTTTGTTATTGTTATTAATATTAAATTTATTGTTATTATTATGTTTTGTAAATTAATTGACATTTCACAACTAGTATTAAGCGTTTTTATATTATTAAGAAGTCAACAAACATGTACCATGTAAAAATAGATAGAGTGGGAAAAAAAGACTTAATATTTTTTATTGAAATCAAAAAGGGCTTTTTGCCTGATTTCTTTGTGAATTGACTGTCAACTCTGAAGCATGGATCCTCTTGCTATTCAATGTTAAGTACCAAGTCTGACTTTTTATCCCATGATTTTTGAGATTCAATATGAAAGTTTCATGACAACCATTGATCATTTATCAGTAAACACTTTCAATAAAAAAAAAACATGTTTGCTTTCTTGTGTCCAGGACTTGTCTATTTGCCTCACTACCTTACCCCTAACATGTCTACCTTGCTTTATATTCCCCTACCAGTCCAATACTAACCTGTAGTGTTTTATCCAAAAACATACACACCAGCACATCTACTCACATACAATATCTTCTTACCTATTTAATATCTAACCTATGGTATATTACGACCTCCACACTGATGGGAGATACCTATATATATACATATATATGTACAGTATACATATATATTAATATATATATACTGTATATATATACTGTATATACATATACTGTATATATATGTATATATATATACAGTATATATATAGATAGATAGATAGATAGATAGATAGATAGATAGATAGATAGATAGATAGATAGATAGATAGATAGATAGATAGATTTAGTATTATAAGAATCCCTCTATCTACTTTGTCTTCCCACATTTAATCTATCAAACATTCAGTTTTCTGAAGTTTTTATTGATTCATCTCAACGTATCTCCTGGCATACCTTTTCACCATGTACTTTTATTGACAAACCACTTTAAAGCTTTACGCTTCCTAGCCACCGGAAGTGAGAAATCTCATTGGTTCATGGACGCCTGGTGGACGCCTGGTGTCGTTTCTTGTCCAATAGCGACTCAGATAGGCGGAGTCAGGACTCCCCTCAAAGAGGCTGATTATGACGTCAGTTCAGGGCAAGTCGGTGGGCAGCATCAGGAAGCAGCAGCAATAGCAGTAGTCACAACCGCCATGGTGATTTACAAGGAATAGTGAGTTTTCGTTTTATATCTTTTTTTAGCCATGTTTTTATGTCTGTGAACTACATTAAGACAATACTCTCTGCGTAACGTCTATCTTGGGTCGGAGCCTACTGAAAAGTTTGTCTTTCACTTCTGTTTTAGACACACGAGGCTAAGGGTGTGGGGTTTGGGGCTGGAGGAGCTAACGGACTCGGTGTATGGCCTACCGGCTTTGACAGACACGCCACTGTGTTACTGTCTCATATTGTACAGTATTCTGGTTAAAATCTGGAATGGTTACCTGTGGAGTAGTGGCGCGTCAACTTTAGCTTATCTGAGCTTTAAAGCGTACCTTTCTCCCACTTTCGCTACGAAATACAAACGAATGCTAACACACTGCTAATTTAACGATGTAATATTATTGGGATTGGTCACCTGGCGATGTATCTTGGCATCTCTACCATGGGGAAAAGTGCTAAGTATTTCAGACTGACAGGTTCACCAAACCTTCCTTAATTCGGTTTATTTATAAGCTATTAGTTCTGTAGGTCGAGGACGCTAGGATGATTAGCTAAAGTCGTACGTTGAAAGTATCTATAAGACATATGTTTCCTTAACTTTGCCTAGTAATCATCAGCCAAACACTCCTTGAAGAAAATACAACGTGTAAACTTTTTTTTATAACAAGCTTTGATATATTTCAGTCTCGTTAGCAATGCCCCAATATCTGACACTGGTGAAAAACTTAACATTACAGTGCAACTCGTTTATTACCTGCTCTTTGTGTGATTAAAGAATAATTTTACTTAAACGGCAGCAAATTAAAAAGCACATCAGCATGTAACTATAGCCATGTCATGTTTTATTTTGTATTTCATTGTAGTTTCTTATATACAGCAAAAGAAAATAGTTTGAGTTGGCCGAAGGTGACAGCATCAATCCTTAGTAATTAAAAAAAGAAAGGAAGTTAAAATAAAGTTCTGAAAATATATCCAACACTGATTTTGTGTGTGATTTGTAACATGCTCATCAAAACGTGTACAGAAACAAAAGTATTGCTTTATAATAAAAGAAAGCCTTTTTGTAGCTGTTCTGAGCCACATGCTCATTTGTATTCTGTTTTTAATAACAGACTGGTTTGGTATAGTTTTTAAGCAAATTTGTCTGTCTCAAATATCTCTATGCTTAAAACTGAGCAATTCTAACTGTACTGTTCCCTAATTTGTACAATAATATCCAAAAAGGCTATGAAATCAGATAAAATTACACCTTCACTAATATTAAATGTTTGATCATATGACTATTTCAGTAGTGATAACTGTTTTCACTGCTGTCCTACAGAGTAACATGGACTTTCAAAACTTTAAACTCACGTGTTTGCAGCATAAGAATGTGAAGCAAGTCAAATTTTAAAGAATCTTTTTAAAATTATTTATTATATGCAGTGATATGCAAATGTAATGTCCAAATGTATATCTGTCATGATAGCTTAAAATACATGTAAGAAAATTCAGCAAATGCCGTGAACATGTCATGTGTGGAAGAACACACACTTCATAGCTATACTCTGTGTAGACATCCCCTCTGTCATATTTCTTCCTCTCTTGCACAATGTTGCTTAAGTGAATAATAAAGACATTTTAGTTTCAAAGCAAACATTTCATTGTGTGTTTCACAATAGTCTGTTACATACCATAGTATGAGAGGAAAAAGAGTGTTTTATGTCACAGGTTAACAATTACTGATATTTAACATTACGTTGTAATTATGCTTTAGCTACAGTTTAGGTAGAGACATCTTTTATATTGGTGGAAACATTAAGAAAAGTTTGATACTGTACCTCAAAGAGAAGGATTTAATCGTATGTGCTAATTAACCTTATGTTTTTGTGGTACTTTAGACATTTCCTTTTTCTTTATTTGCACTCATGACTTTGCTGCTTTTCTTCTCAAGATTCTTTGATGCGACTCTTATTGATGATCTGAGTGTTATTTTCTGTAGCTCGACTGTTTCACTATGACCAGTACTGGTTCTTTCCTCCCTCTTTACATGCTGAAGTCAGCAGTGTAGAGGTCTAGGCAGGGGTTGTAGTATTTCTTCAGTAAGAATAGACAGCCAAAACCTGCCACCCAGCGTTGATTGATTGTTTTTGCGTATTTATTTATTGTTTTATGCTGTGGCATCAACAATGCCACTGCAACTGCTGCTAAAGTGGTTTGTCTGTACAATAGTATCTGTTTTAAAGTGTGGTTAATGGGTTCCTGTGACTGTGTGACAGACTGGTGGTGGTGGCTGATTGGGTTTTCAACAATATTCAGTCTGGTCTCTGTAGGTAATCTCATGTAGTAAAAATCTCAAACTTGATAAGATCTCATGCTTTTCTGTAGAGGACAACAAGCTCCAGAAAATGCAGTCAGATAACCTTTGTGCTGCACTTAAAAAAAGCTATATAGGGAAAACAAATATATTGGTTATGAATTTTGATATTTGTGTTCTTCACTTTTTGAATTGTTTGTGGGTAATCAAATAAATATCTTTGTTTTACAGCCGTGTGGTTTTACCCTGTAGTGTTGAAGAGGTGAGTATCTCTAAGTACCTTTCTCTCTTTATGTCAATTTCTCTGTCTCTCTCCCTGTTTCAGTCTTTCCTCACTCCCTCTGACTCTCTCTGTCTCACCTATAGTAATATATCTTTTGTTACAGTATCAAGTGGGTCAGCTGTTTTCTGTGGCTGAAGCGAGTAAAAATGAGACTGGTGGAGGTGAAGGTATTCAAGTGGTGAAGAATGAACCCTATGAAAAAGATGGAGCGAAAGGACAATACACACACAAAATCTACCATTTAAAAAGGTAGGATTCTCTTAATATATTTACTATGTAATATTAGTGTCCTACCACACGGTGGCAGTGTTGACTAATGTTTCTTCCAAATAGCCTTCTTTCTGATTTGTCTTCTGTAGTGTGTTTTACTTGAAATGGTTAGTGAGTGAAGCACTTTCTGATCTTTTCAGTTTTTCTCTGCATGTTTTCTTCCTGTCTGTCCATTTTACAGTAAAGTACCAAGTTTTGTCAGTGCACTTGCGCCAGAGGGTTCCCTGGTTTTCCATGAGAAAGCCTGGAATGCCTATCCGTACTGCAAAACCAGTGAGTGCTTTCCTTTTTCTCTTTTTCCCCGATGTGGACAACTATTTTTGTTGTGGTCTTTGTGTAATGCCGCTCTAATTTTTTTTTCTCCTTTCTTTTCCTTGATGTCAAACCTTCAACCAGTTGTGACAGTAAGTTTCCCTAAATTATTACCTAGAATTTAAAAAATGTATGTTATTTTTTTTCCATTTGTGCTCTATATTTAAATGTCTTGTTTTTTCAACCATTTCAGAACGAGTATATGGATGACAGTTTCTTTATAAAAATTGAGACATGGCACAAACCGGACCTTGGAACGCAGGAAAATGTTTGTAACTCTGCTCCAGCATAAACATGAATGACCTGTTCAAACATACGTTTTGAATTCATTGTTCTTGGTTGTTCAGGTGCATAAACTGGACCATGCAACGTGGGAGAAGGTATCGGTCGTGCCAATTGATATTGCAGATCGAAGCCAAGTATCTGATTCTGTGAGTAGAACATTTTTGTTAATGGCACCTATTTATATGTACTAATCTTACATATATCTTGTTGGATAATCTTATCCAACAAGAACTTTTTTTTTTTTTTTTTAAGAATAGGTACAGTAAAGCAGGGACAGCAGGCGCACTTTTTTTGTTCACTCACGTTTTTTCATATATGCTTTTGTTAAGCAACTCTGTATTATCATCTGCAAGATGTCTATTTCCTCCACTGTGTGGAGCTGTTTACAGGTCAGTGGCTGTAAATGTCTTTCTGTATAAGCAGAAGCCAACAATTTTGCTCAGCAATAGCAGCATTTAGGGGAGAAAGGTATTGTAATTAAGGTTACATGATTCACATTGATAGGAATAAGGAGGACATATTTATCACAGGAAAGTAACAACTGTTTTACGTTTGTCAGTGCATACAACCATCTGAACCAAAAGTTTTGAAGGAAGTGAAGAGAAATGTGATCCAGGGCTCAACATTACAATTTTAATAATGATATCTCATCTGCTTAACGCTATCTCCCTCTAGTTGTTCAAGAAAAACCTTCATCTGTGAATCATTAATGTTTCTACAAATGTGCAGCGAAACATTAATGAATGAACATTCTATAGGTAATGTTTTTGTTTTTAATGTTCATTCAATGCAGAGTACACACAAAAAATCTTACGATCTTAAAAGAAATGAATGCCATGTAAGTTTATCTTAAACATATTTATGGTGTTAAAAAAGAAATGGTTCCTTTTAAAATCTGTTCTCTTGATACATAGATAGATACACATCTTGTATGTCATTGCTGTAATTTTACTTCACATTGCCCAATATCACTGCCAGTATGTGCATGTGTTCGTGAGACTGCTTGACTGTGTGTACGGTTGTGTTTGTGTGTCTGTGTGATAGTTAACAAGGCAGATGCTTTTGCCTTTCTGCAGCACTGTGTTGTGTCTAAGGACCCTATCAGCCCTCAGCCTCAGGCATGGCTGCAGGGCGTGGGGGGCTGCACTGCCGGCACAGATGAGTTTGTTAGCGTAATTAAGGCTCAGAGTACTTCATATGCTGCAATCCCACAAATACACACACACTTTCTCTAGAGGAGTCTCCTTTTTGTCTAACACGGCACATCGATTCACAGGCCTCATTAGTGCAGTGCGCTGATTGTTATAGTGATGGAGAGCTCAGCGTTAAAACAGCAAAATTGGTTTTTGTTTGCATTTGTGTGTTTGAGTGTGAAAGTGTGTTCCTCTTTTGGCCTGCAGCCCTGCAAAGTAGCTTTTAGCTACAGGCGCATCATGATTTATTTGAAATTGCTAGGCCCTTGAGCTGTTGATCATTTGAAAGCTGTTGTATTTGTATCATCATTTCTCTCCTGCTTTTATGAAGTCAACATTGTCCTTGTCTTTGTGTGCCTAGCATTTGCACTCAAACAATTGGACTTTTCTATATCTTCATTGTCTTTGCCTTGGGACTCCAACTCCCCTTTACAATTGGTAATAGTAGTTCATTTACAGGGCACTGGGTCACAGAATCTTGGTGTGTAGCCTAAATGACAAGACAAATCTGATGCTTTACTAATGTTGTGTGTGGTAAGGTCTGCTCCAATATAGATTTAATAGCTAGGGTTTTTAGGTGTTAATGTTTTAGTTTACTAATTCAACAATGGTATCGAATCGGTATTGGTAAGTGGCTGATATACAGATTTGAATTTAAAAGGTCAGATTGATGCATCCCTACCTCCAAGTCACAAGTACTCAGAGTCCAAAACCATTTTCTTTTGCATTTTTCTGAAACCTATTTTTATCAAAACATATAAACGACACATTTTGTGCATCCAGTGGCCAAATACCAAATCATGCCAACATAAGCACACATTTTTTGCTGTTGATGAATAATCTAAGAACCTTTTTAAAACTACCTGCATTTTCATGTTAAATTTGTTTAAGTTAATCTTAAAGGAGTTTGGCTAAATCCCCACAATGCGTTGTTCTAGAATACCCATGAATAAACATTCAAATTTCAAATAGATTAATTAACTGGATGTTTGGAGTCAGCTGAATATAATGTCTTGCATATGTTGTTTTCATCACATAAAACTCTTCTGACTATAGGACTACAAGCCAGACGAAGATCCAGCCAAGTTCAAGTCTGTTAAGACGGGCAGAGGACCTCTGGGGCCCACCTGGAAGGTAATGGCTTTAAATTCATCCCATTTAAACAGATGTTGCTTGACATCTTCTGCAATAGCCTTGGCTTTCCCCTACGAGTTTAATTTTTGTTATATCTACCCAATATAGAGAAGATCTCATACCTTGGTGTTTGTCTAAAATACAACTAATTCAGGTACCTTTCTTGGGCAAAATTTAAAGCCTAAATAAGAATAATCAAAACTAGGTTGACCTAAAACATGTTCTTTATAGGTGTGATTTAGTCCTTTGGTCAGGCTTAGACCTTCCTAGGGTTGGGATGGTAGTAGATAAGTGGGCACTATAACAGAATGTTATTTGTGACATCAGCACTTTATGTTTACATGTTTCCTCACACTCCCTAACATTAAAAAAACACTTTTTATTAACAGTGTCAATACCTGACACAAATGGAAGTCACTGGTTCTCAAATGACATTTCACCTTTGACAAATAAAACTTGACAGTTACAACCAAGGTGTTGTCATATACACTCATAGACTGTTTAATTCCAGGTTCACCTAAAATTCAAATAATTTAAATTAGACATTCATGACAAAAGTCAAGATTTGACCACAAGACTATCTAAAGGTAAGTCATCATTTAATGGGCACAAGTTTATCAAGGCTTATAAACAACGGCTACTGGCTTTGCTGCTAGCAGTACAAGCATAATTCTATACGTCCATATGGAATGCTTTGCCATTTTACATCTATTTGTCTGAAGATTTGAATTATTTATTAAGTCTGTAGCTGTATCTCTCTAAGTCTGTATCTCTATTTGCTCCTAAGATTATTCTTTCTTAATTGCAATTGTTTGAAGAGCTTTTTACCCAAATTCTGTTCTGTTGTGGTTCAATTTTGAGATAATTTTGATGAAACAGTCACTACAGAAATCTAATCAAAGTGATTGGAAAGCTTAGAAGAACATGCCTCTTTCTGACAAGTCAAAAACGCAACAAATCCTAAGCTTTTGAAGCGTTTGTGACCCTAGTCCTCTTAATGTCTTAGCGTACTGAAATTATACAATTATTTTCATGTTGACAATGTTAAACAGCTAGTTAAAGGGAAGGAATTGAGTATGGAAGTACAGAACTGCTCACATTTTTAATAGACTAATTTGTAGATACATTTTCACATGAAAACTAGCACCATCCCCTGTAATAATCAGAAGAGCAGTGAGCCTAGTTGGCAGAAGGTTAGAGCGATGTCATTACTACTGTGGAGGCTGAAGTTTGATGAAGACAAATCACCTCTTTCTCAGCTCTAATTGGATGTAATGGACATTTTGCTTCCTGAGGCAGATAAAGATTAAGGTTTTTAGTGCAAGTGCAATCTGGAGCAGATAGAGACGGGAATGGGCTGTTTGCTTCAGACATTTATACATTACGTCCAGTGAAGGGTTTCAGTGGTCAGTTTTTTGGCCTTCTCTCTCTTTTTAATAACTCGTTAATTGCCTTATTTTCTGAGGAATAATCAGATTTATAAATTTGAAAATATGGCATCATACATCCAATAATTTAACCGTCCACCCACTTACAGTTGTTTTAATACACCGGCAATTCACTCATTATTTGCACTGACTGCATATAAGAGTTTTGTTTCACAAAGGATATCAAGCTTAAAATGCCATCTCAACACCCGACCTGTGTTTGTGGAGGCTGCAATATCAGTTGGGTAAGCACAGGGTAAAAGTAAAATCTACGGCTAGCATCTCTGGCCACAAGAGGGCCAAAGATGACAACTGAACGTTGCTTCTCCAATGCAAAAAATGTGAAAGCGCTAAAGACGTCCGTAAAGGCTACAAATGAAGTGTGACCAAAAAGAAAAGTCTATGCTGTGGAGTTTAGATGTATAGCAGTGTAGATTATGAGGCTACACTTCACAAGGATCAATAATTCCCTTGTGAGAATTTTTTAATGGTGTCCTATTTAACCCTAATGTAGCCTCACTAAACTTCCGTTTTTATTTTTGGAGCACTCAGAATTTCTTTTCTGCAGTGAATTCCTCAGTACTTACCATGGGAACCCTCTAAACCTCTACATCAAGGGGTTACACAGAACAAAGTCCACCAAACTGTTTTTTTAAATAAAGTATGAGTAAGGAAACACAACTCTTATCCTCTTTTCTTTATTTTGATTTTAATTGGATCATTTCCCCGTCCGCTGTGGACATGGGAGAAAAATATTTTGTTTTTGAAAGATGGTGAAGAGGGGGGAAATAGTTATATGACAACAGAGGCACAATCTGTCAGCTCCTCGGAGCAGTGAAACTCTGTTCTATCTCTGCATGCACACATGCTTGTATAGCACTACCCTTTGTATTTCTGAAAACTTCTGCTCCTTTGAGCGTGGGGCACGAAAAGGGGAGAGAATAAATGTCACCGTAGAATGTTTTGATGTGGAATCTGTTTCATGTGAAGTTCCTCCTTTAGCGATGACAACTTTTCTAAACCTACCACAAATTTAGAAATGTTTCTCACTCTCCACACCTCCTCCACTATTGCACCCACGCTCCACTATGATCATAGAATCAAACGACAGTGGGAAGAGAGGTGATTGAGGCAGGGCTGTGACATTTTCTCTCAGAATGCAGAGCAGGAATTAAGTGATTAATTAAACAGGAGATCTCACAGGAAGGAGGATGTGTTTGTGTGTGAACTTCTCAGGGTGTGCAGGTCCTCTGCACTAATAATGCACCAAGCTTTGCACCAAGAAGCCCCTTATCATTTTTAAGCTCTGTTTCATCCGCTTTCCTTGGCCACAAAGGCAGCCCTGTTGGGAGGGGTGTCGCTTTCGGAGCGTAAGCAGAGAAATTGGTTCTTTATCTGGAGTTTATCCACTTGCTGTGCTTCCCCACTGCCTTTTCCTAAGAGGGAGGCAAAGTCAAAGCAGTGCAAAAATTTCAAAATCTGTGTTGTAGATTATGGCACTTTTATTCTTGTAGAGCACATCTTAATATTCATAATAATTTTAGCAACTTCCATATGTAAAGTATTAGGTTTGTATATTGTTTTTTTAATGATTTCAATTTCCACATACTCTCCTATGACTACCAGTGGAAAAACCTTCCTCATACATCACAACAGCTCCTTCTAAGGAACTATGGTGACTATGATAGTGTTATCACATGTTTTCTCTAAATCTACTTACAAAGACATAGTGCATTTCTTCCTGACCTTCTCTGCTAGCTGTTCTAGATGTTCTACTAGCACTCAAGTTGCCCAAACCAAAGCTGTAAAATATTTCTGGGCATAAAACCAAACTGCTGCTCAGTGATTTTTCCATATCTTCATTGTCATCAACTCTATGCCTCTGTAGTTACTATAACTCATCCTCTTGGTGTCCAGAATTGTGTTAAACAACTTAGTTAATAATTCCACTGCACTCTTTCCTCCAGACCTCCACAGGTGACCAACAGTTATTACACACTCCATTCTTCTCAAAGCTGCCATCACTTTCTTAAAAAATCCCTGACCTTTCTGATTAGCCACCTGTCTTCTATCACTCTCCTCCTCTCGCTCTTTTCTCTCTCTCTCCTCTTTTTCTTGATGATGTCTTTGATTTCTTTTTTCCGCACCAATTTCCCTGGTCATCTCTGCACATACCTGATGACACCCATTCACATTCCTGCCAGTTCCCCTCATCACCCTAGCCCTCCTTACCCAATTGTCTGCTAGTTCTTAACTCTCTCCAGTGGTACACAGAATGTGCCCCCTCGGTGGCTGTGATGTTGATTATAGATTAACATCAGAAAACTCAACCTAATGTTTGCCGTTGACGTCCATCAGTACTTCTTTTAGTTGGTGAGAACATGACACCTAGTTAGAATTGCTTGTAATATTTATTTTGAATGGTCATACATTTTTGTTACTGCTGCATCATGAACATGGGGTGAATTGTCAGTGTTGTCTGTCATCTGCTGTTCTCACAGAGAGATCTGGTTAAAAGCACAGACTGCCCAAGGATGTGTGCCTACAAACTTGTCACAGTCAAGTTCAAGTGGTGGGGTCTGCAGTCCAAGGTGGAGAATTTCATCCATGACGTAAGTGTGGCGTGTCATTCCTGTAGTTAGTGCTGTTTCCCACTCAGAGAGTTTGACTCTTGGTCCTGGAACAGTTCTGCCATAATTCACATAATAACTGCAGTAGTTATGTGTTTTTGACCTTTTTTTTTCTTTTCATAACATTTTTATTTTCATAACCTAAATTTTAAGAAAGTTTAAATTTGTTTTTGTATTGTCTAGATTTTATTTTTCATTCAGATAACTGACCTAACTTCTGCCACTTTCAGCAAGAGAAGAGGATCTTTAATAACTTTCATCGCCAACTGTTCTGCTGGATTGACAAGTGGGTGGAGCTAAATATGGATGACATCAGGCGAATGGAGGCGGAGACTCAAAAGGAGTTGGATGAGGTAATTACGGAAATGTGACAAATAAACCACAGAATCTTCTTTTTTTTTTTTTTTAAGTACCTAGTGCGTTAGGTATTTTCCCATAATATTCTTTCTAACAGTATAAGGGTATTATATCATACTAGTGTTTCTTACTTTGTCTAAATTGGGTACAAAGCCTTTCCCTCTTTACTATTTCTGTGATATTACTCGCTTAATGCCCTAATGTTTGATCAGATGCGTAAGAACGGCTGTGTGCAGGGTACACAGGCTGCCGACAAGTAGCCAGTAGAGGAAAAATCTAATTTATGCTTCTTACCACATCACTTACCACCAGTAAAGGGTGTGTTTCTTGAGCCTGATTTTCATGTGGTACAAGATGTATTTCTTTGAAAGGTTGTAAGGCACTCTTCAGAAAACAGCTGGTGTTGTCTAAGGATTGGCATCACCAATGTAACAATGTAACGTCTTGAACCTTTGCTGCTGAACTGTTGCACTGGTATTCTTTCACGCTATTTTTGCAGCTGACAGAACTATCTGGCCTACACACCCTGTAATAGAAACATGCGCCAGAGAGAGGTTTATGATTTCATACTGAATCAAACAAAACTGCTCTGGAACTACTCTGTGGAAAGATGGCTCTAGAGGCTTTCTTTGTTCACTTTGGGGTTTCTCTGTTGCCGCAGTGTTGTACTGCGTTCACTCTGCACTCCTTGGTGTTGTAAAAGTGTTTTGAATCTCGGTCTGTTTATGCACGTGTGTGTGTATAAGCGTTCACATGCAACTCCATAGCTTACTCTGAATTGGTTAATCAATAGCACCACATCACAGGGAAGTATGACGTAAATGCGAGAGCGTTGGCTTCTGCTGACCCATTGAAAATGGTCTGTACAAATGTGAGTGTGTGTAAGTCCTCCCACTGAATATACTCAGACATCTGGACAAACTTTCTCAGAATCTTACAGGCTATTTTTTAAGAAGGGGCCAGCAGTTGTGTAAAAAAGAAAACCTGCTCGAGATTAGTACCTGCAGCCTACAGTCTCTCTAAAGAGGAATATGAAACGGTTAAAGAACAGCCTTCTTGATTAAATTACAGACTTTCTCATTGACTGTATTTTCTCAGTGCGCTCAACAGTTTGCTTTGAAACTCGTTCTCAACATCAATCTGGAAGCTCTTGGCCATACAAGGAGAGAAAGAAGCAGAGTAATCCAGACTGGACCGGCTAAAGTGAACCGTGTTCAAACATTCCTGGCTCACAACCAACATACAGCATTTTCTATTTAACTGCACCCCTCTGCCGCGCTTTCCCCTTCCACCCCAATCTCACCCAATGCACCATGTGTTTTCCATTTTTCTTTGGAGTAAGTAAACAGGCAGTTGCCATCAAAAACGAC